TAGAGTTTGAAATACGGAATTTAATAAACAGGAGCTAGTAGTGGGACCTCACCCCGGCACCATCGGTGGTGATCGCCACAGCTGGACCAGCGGCTTGTCTCAGCACTGGTTTTCTCCTGGTGGGACCTCACGAGGCTCTCCCAAATGACTTCATACCTTCGCAGAGTTGCTGGAGGTGTAAAGGGGTTTTACAACGGTGGGGTTTGGGCAGGAGTTTTATCAGACCCAAAGGGAAAGACAAACAGCCCCGAAGCAGCCACTGATGCCGGACAGATCTCGTGGCTGGACCGTGCCATGCACGTTGCGGGTGGGTGCGGGCTTGCTGCCGGCTCCCCGGGTGGGTGCGGACTTGCTGCCGGCTCCTCGCCAGGCATGGCCAGGGTGTGAAACCAGCCCAGAGGTTCCTCACATCTGCTCTGCATTATTATTGCTGCTGTGTTTACAGCTTGTGTTTACAGCTTGTGCCAGCACCAGAGTTTGAGCACAGGGATGTTTGCAGCTCAGGGGTAAATCAAAGTTCTTCCCGAGCCTCTACTGTGCTCCCAGACTGTTGGCATGTTCTGAATTCTTTCCCCAAAATATGTTGGTTTGCTGTCTTACCATGTCTAGCCCTCATTATTTCTTACGGATTCACTTAGGAGAGATTCCTGTCGTTCTTGAGTTTTCCCCAATTACTTTATGGAGGACAGGCCTGTGGGGCAGGGTGTGCAACCTCCACCAGCAACTGTCCCCCGTTAATAAGTTTATAACCAGTCCAGTCACACAGCTCAGGGGATTTAGAAAGGCCAGGAGGTTTATAATCCCATTAACCCTTCATAGGTGCTGATGCCCAAGCTGGGGTCATGGCACAAGACTGCAAACAGGGCAGCAGAACACCTTCCTCCTGGGAGGAGGAGGAGGAGGGAGGAAGGCTTCCCCATATGTGAGATGCCACTGTGCCTCGGTCCTGCTGGGGGGAAAATGAAGCAAGGTCGTTCAAGCTTTCCCATGGGATCGTATCTAAATTGCATTAACCCCGATCTGAAGTGAATACCCCTGAAGTCTGGGCTGGAGCCAATGTTGGGGGACACTTGTCTTGGCTGTGTCCCCAAAACCTTGCTTCCACCTGGAACAACTGGTCTTCCTAATTACCGTGGGACAGGCTATTTAAAGAGGCCCTTTTGCCTTTTCCTCAGCCAGAGCCTTTCTGAGCAGCATGGGAAGAGGGATCTGTCTCTGGGAGAACACTCATAACCCCTCTCCAAGCCAACCGTCTCTTGGGCCAATGCTGATTTTGTTTCATTGTGAAATGAATGTTGAGTCATTATTAAGCAAGTGCCTGACTCTGCCCTTGGAACCCCCCATGGCTCCCGACGCCCATGGGATGCAGAGACCACAACGCAGTGCCCTGCCAAGGGTTGCACCCTCCCACCTCAAAACCTCTTAGTGCTTCTTTCCTGAGCCAAAAGCCCTCGGGCAGACCTCGCTGTCACCGCAGGACGTCTTTCCGCCTCTAATTCCCACCCACGCAAACCTGCTGGGACCCTTGTTCCCCTGCTAAGCCACACATGGAGGCTCCCTGTGGGCTCGGTGATGCTGCTGTCGGCACTACCCACCCGTCCCCAGCTCTGGCATCCTTGTGCCGCTGCTTTGCCGAGCTCAGGGTCCTCCCTGGAGCCTGTTTGGGGTGGTTTGGTCATGGCTGTGGTGGTTTGGTCAAGGATGGTCACTGTGGGGTCTGGCCACACCTTGCCTGAAGCTGGAGCACTAAGTCCTTCTACCTGGCCTTTTTTTTTGACTTTCTCGTTTTGCCCCGTGCTTCTGCCAGGTTTGCACCTCCTCACTTGTCTCCTTGCACTTGGCGCCATGCCTGTCCCTGTGATTGGCTCTTCTCTCTTTCTGCAGCTATTTTCAGGCAAGTGCAATTTGGCAGCAAAAATAACTCTTTTACTTAGGAAAAAACCCAAACATCATTTTTTTTCAATGAGTTTTCAAACTTGTTTTTCCAGCAGTCAATGAATAGGTGGACATGCAAGTTAAACCCACGTTTGTACGCTCTCCAGCCCTGTGGTGTTTGTGCTTGATTCGTGCTCCTTCCATTCAGCTGTTTATTTAGAAACGTGAGGTCTCATTGGCAGTTCCCTGGGGTAAGAAGCCTGGGCTTTCCAGCTGGATTTACTCTGTGCTGATCAGTCAGGTCCTAGCTTGGTAAAGAGCTTGAGCTTTGCCAGTGGGACATTTGCCTTCAATGCTGGTTCCAGAGAGCAGGGCTGGGACACACGGGCAGGTTACACGTGGCTTATCAATCCTTCCTAAATGTGAGCCTGCGTTTTAAAATCCTGAAAGGCTTCTGAAACGTTCTCTAGATAAAGCAGATGTTAAGCGGCAGGAGCAGCATCAACGTCTGATGCTTTTGCCAGGGTCTATCTGCATTTCAGAGGGTGGAATTGAGGATCTGAGGGTTTCTCCTGTTCCCCGAGGGCATCTTGGATTCAGTTTTTATTTATTTCACCACCTTGCAGACCTTGTGTGATTTATTGCAACCCAGCCGGTATGAAGCATTGGCACACGGGTTGGGTGAGCATCACGGCCAGAGGGACGGTGGTTGGTCCCTGTGGGACGAGGGTTGAGCTGCTGAAGGATTTGGTTTCAAAGGTGCTGAGCACCCAAGCCCCAAACAAACATGTCTGCTTAATGTTAAGTGTGGAAGTTGTTCCCTGAGATGCAGAAACTAGAATAGAGCAATTACTGAATTGCCAGGCAGAGTAATTCTCCTGCTTGGCTGCATGTTTTGGGTCAGGCTGACCTGGCTCCTGTGAGGTCTCCTGCAGCCTCTTCTGAAGCTGCTCAGGGAGGTCACCTTGTCCCATTGACGTTGCCTCCAGTGCTTGTCCTATCTCTTCCCTCCAGCAGTGCTGACTTATTCCAGCCAAGGCTCTGGCCCATGACTCAAAGGCATAGTTCTGTGAATTAATTTATTGGCAGAGTCTCAAAGGACCTCGAGAAAGTTGTATGTTGAGTTTTGGTGGTGGAATGGAAATGGGCTCTTACTGTGACTGGGGTGATTATTAGAGCACTTGGAGTATGATCGTTAGTGTAACGGGCTGGTGGGTGAGGGCTGTCTGGGTGCCCGTTCACAGTTGAGCTGCCCAAGAAGGTCACCCCAAGGTGGCCATGGGGGCTGGGGGTGCTTCTACCCCTCAAGGGTCATAGAACAGGCATGTATGCAGTGTTACCGCACCCTGATGGAGTTGAATTCATGTGTCTGTTGTGCCACAAAACCTCCTGGCTAGCCTTGACAGATTCACTTGGGGCCAGAGCTGTGGATTGCCACGTGCTTGGATGCTTAATGGAGCATGATGTTGGGTTCTCCATGCCCTGGAAGTCGTCTGTGGGATGGCAAGAGAAAGAGCATTCCCCCACCCTTGAACTGCTGTGAGGATGAACAACCTTGTGAGGCTCTTTGTGCAGAGAAGCCATCCAGCAACAGGATATGGCCTCACATACCACTCTTTGGCTTAGCCCGATGTGGCCAAAAGCTGTATACAGACGTGGAGAGAGTGCTGGGCATGCCTTGCTTTGGTGGGACATGCCAGATGCAGCTACGTTTGATGTTTAATTGGTGTTATATCCAAATTTCGATCTTGCAGTTAAATGAATTCAGGTTTTTGGGAGAGTTTTGACTACCTAAAGGTCTGACCTGCTTGGGTTTTTAGTGTTTCATCTGAATGGCCTCAGATGAAAGTACTTTTGATATTTTATTTTTTTTTTAAAACGGCAAATAAGATGCAGGAATACTTTTTGCATTTGTCATTGCTTTAAAGCACTTTGCACTTGCCCAGCGAGGCTTCAGAGGGCCATTGGGGAAGCTCTGGCTAATAAAATTAGTTGCTGACACGTGGGAGAAGTACTACTCAACAGCATCAGATTCAGTGAAATATTCAGCAAGGAGTCTGCAGGCCTGAGCAAGCATGTCTGTATCTGATCCCCAGCTGAGCTGGGCTGATGTACGCCGACATTCAGCTAACGAGGTCTGGTACCACTAATGGGGTCTGGCCAGGAGCCGGTGGAGAGCTGCTGTGGGAACAGCACGAGGAAAACACCGTTGCTGGCATCAGGGCCAAGAGCTGTGACCTTAGCTGTCCCCTGGAGCTGGCAGAGCCGCAGGACCTGTGTCCTCCTGCTGTCTGCAGCTCCAGCAGAACATGTTTCCTGGGAATTTCTCACCGTGGTTCACACTGTGCTCACCAAGATCAAGGCCCTGCTCCTGCCAAGCCCCGAGGCGCCTTGTTGCAGGTACATCTCTGCTTGCTGGCCAACATTGGATAACCTCTTTCCATCCCTCTCTCGCTCCCCATGAAATGGGATGGGTGATGTGCATCCAGATGGGAATGGAAAACGCCAAGGCAACTCCTACTTCTCACATCCCAACAGACAGCAGAACGGCTGTTTTGTAGTAAGCAGGAAAAGCTGCAGGCTGGAAAAGATGCAAAAAGAAAAAAAAAATTGCACTCTTCCCCCAAGCCCTTAAGTGCTACAGTCTGTTATTGCTTCCAAAGCTTTGCTTTGGATTTTAAGCTTTTTTAGGAATGATGAAGACAGGTCCTGCATCCAACGCTGCCCTCCATCCCTGGAGGGGGTGTTCCTGAAGGTGCACAAATAATGCCTCCAAATAATTACCCTGTTGTGTTAACAAGGCGTGTGGCAGCAGTACCCAAGGAGGGGCAGGGGGGCTAGCGGAGCCACCTCATTCGATGGAAGGCGTTCGTGATGGGCCGCATTGGCTTTGGCTTGCGTAAGCTTTAATCTAAAGTTGGAGATGTTTTTAGCTGATCTGTGTTAATGTTGGGTGGAATTAACATGCATACGGGGAGACCACGTGATCCCCTTGGACCTTCCCCCTTTTTTTTTTCCTTTTTTTTTCTTTTTTTTTTTTTAATCCCCCCCCCACAACCCAACCCAACCCCACCCAAAACGAAGCCGCTGGTGCCCGGCAGGGCTGGGCTGCCGACGCCAGCAAGATGCCCGCCGTCTCTGTCCTTTACAAAGGAGCCATCATCATCAGCAGGTAATCCCCCCCACCTTCCAAAGCTGGGGCAGGGACTGGGGAGGGGACACGGGGTAGCCTTGGGGGTCCTCTTAGCTACCTCCATCATTTAGGGAGCCAAGAGCAACCAGCCGTGGCTGCAGCAGGACCGGGGTCGGGTGGCAGGGCTGGCTCACAGTGGAAAGAGCCGAGGGCATCCTTGATTTTTTTGCGTCTCCCACATTTAAGCGAAACTCGCGTCTGCTTCACCCGTGTCAGATTGGGGATAAAAGTTTGACCGTATCAAGTAGGCATCTGCTTCACTGAAACCTCTGTCCTTCTGTCGCGTTTCAGCCCGGTTTGTGCTATTTCTGTTTACTCGCTGGCGGAGCTGCCTCGGCGATTTACTCAAAATACACTGAAAATCCTGGCTGGGAAACTGAACCAGTCTGGGACTAGGGTTGTTCTGGCTTCTGGGGTGCTGCAGAATAGCTTGATATTTTGAGAGATATTTTGGGTGCCTGAAGAGAGAAGCCCCTGACCTTTATTCCTCTGCTGCGTCCTGCTGGGCTCCGAGGAGCCTGTTGTGCCTCTTCAGCTGCATCCAAATTTGGGATCTGATATTGACCCAGAAGCTCCTTTTCTCTTGCGACTTAAATCCCAGGAGTGTTTCAGGAGTCCCTTGCCCCTGGTTTCACAGCTCTGAGTTTCTCAGATCAAGGCCCACCCATCCTCACATACACCCACCCTCTGATTTCTCAGGTCAAGGTCCGTCCATCCATCCTCATGGGGGTGACCAGCATGGGCTACACAAGGAGGAGAAGCACCGGTGGTCCTGGGGGTGGGTTCCCAGCTAGGGCAGAGTGGAACCGGGTGCTTTTGGTGTCATTTATTTGGGGCACCCACCTTGCCAGAGGGTGTTTAGGGGCAGATGGTTGGAAAAATCCCTTGGCATGAGAGGAATTCAGGGGTACGATGCTCTTCGACCTGCATTGGCTTGCAACGAGAAGCTCTCACCTTCCACCTGCGATTTCAAGGGACTCTGCAAACCTTGCATCCCCCTTGCCCAGACCTGGAGGGATGGAGCCTGCCCTGCGTGACAAAACCCTGGGAGCGGCTCACGCCTGGCTGTCTATGTTTGTGAAACTGGTTTATTCCCGGAACATTGGTCCGAGCTCTGATCTTATTTCCCGGGAGCTGGACAGCTGTCCAGCATCGTTAATCTGGGGTAATGAATCACAGATAGGCCCATCAGATTTGCTGGGTGGGGAGGATGATGTCCATATTCTCTCATTTATCTGCAGAAACTTTGGGGGAGGGGGATGATTTTTGCCAGCGCGGGTTTAACGTGCGGGGCAGTGTCCCTCGACCCGCGGTGTCTACACCATTCCATGGGCAAGGTCTGGGGTGGTGGGAAGGACGTGCTGTCAGCTGGGCACGTCTGCACCTCTTGATTTTTAACCCGTGAAAGAAAGATGTTTCTCTTCTCTCTTCCAGGACACTCATGGGACCGTACGGGATGGACCGAACCGTGCACTGCTTCGATTTCTACGACTGTGCGAACGGGCTGGGTGAGTAGCAAACCTCTGCAAGGGACATCAGGGTGGGCTGGGACACCCCCCTGTCCCCAGCTCCTGTGTCGTGATGTGTCTTGCTGGGTGAAGTCCTGATATCTCGCAGAAATGCCCGTTCTTGTGCCTGCCTGGGTTGTGCGTCCGGTAGCACCTTTTGCAGCTGGGACGTTAAAATAAGGTCAAAAATCCCGATTAATTCCCTGTTGCTGGTGAGCAGCTGCAGAGCTGAGAGCTGTGCGGGAGTCCCTCCCCTCAGCAGAATAGGGTGAGGGGAGTGGAGGAGGGAGGCAGGGAAAAAGCTTTTCAGAATTTTCCAAATTAACGAAATTAAAATTTAAAATTTAAAAAAACAACAAACAAAAAGCAAAATATTAAAATAATAAATAAATAAAATCCCAAGCACTCCCCAGCTGCTTGCTACCGCCCCGCTGCAGGCAGGGACCCCCCGCACTGGGAAGCCACCCTGACAAGTGACACGTGGCATTGTAGCTCTTCTGGGGACCGGGCTGTATGAGTTGTCTTTGGAAAGTTTGGCCCAGGGCTGAGGGTATGAGCAGCGTGCGAGTCAGTCATCCTTCCAGCATGCTCTGAACATCAAAGCATGGAAGAAAGGGGAAAAAAAGATGGTCATATACAGCAGAATGTGAGAAATAGCCCCAAGTTCCTGAAACTCAGTCCACAGGGATCCAGTAGAACATCTCTGCTGACCTCTGTGCATCCAGCAGCAGAAACACTGGTGCTCTTCTGTGGACTTTATGAAAAATTGCAGCTGGGAATCAGGATTTCTTGGAGCCCACCATAATTTTTAGCTGTTAGTTACGCACATTATTCCATAGAGCAGCTCCGGGGGCCCCTTGGCAAGGTCTCTGGGTGACCATTTGGGAACCTCTCCTGAGAAGGTAAACTCACCAGAGAAACAAGGTCAGGTTTCCTGACACCTGAGATTAATTATAGATTAATTATTGGGTAACTAGGTAATCCAGGTCTTGGGTAACGGGGCTGTCTGCTGTAGAGGAGCGGCTTTGCTGACTCTTCCCCCCCCGTCTTCAGTTCACAGGAGCTCTTTTCTTGGTGAATATGGTATTTTAATCTCCAGGGGTGGATTTGGTTGAGTTGATGGGATTTGAGCTGTGGGGTTAGATTAGCTCGTTAAGGGAGGAGACCCAGAAAAGCCTGACGGAGCTGTCGCTGACCTCTGGAAGAAGGGTACAGACATAGCGGCCCACCATGAGCCACCTTGTTGGGTCTCAACACTCCTCCTTTCCCCCAGCCTGTGGCCAGAGGGGCTTCCCAGGGTCTTGCAGACCCTCTCCAGGGTGTCATGATGGTGCTGCAGGAAGGTACAAAGATGTGGATTTTCTAATGCCATCATTGGCTTTCTTCATCCTCTCTTGTGAGGCTTGAAATTCCCAGGAGAAGCGATCATTCTCCAGAAATCACCCCTCTCTGCTGAGGACCAAGCAGTGCTTGCAGGAGTCTCGTGTCTGCCATAGGTGTAGCTGCTCAGAATGTGGATTTTTTGGGGGCAGGGAGGAAAGGTTGCTTCCACGAGTTTCTTGTGTTGAGGTGCGGGTGTTATTTCAGCAGAGGTTCTTCAGAGCAGCTCGGTGCCGACGTGGCAGGTCAGCGTTTGGCCCCGGGTCTGTTACTCTGTGGCTTTAGGTGGAAACCCACATGTGTGAACCTCAGCAGAAGTTCAAAGGGGTTACCTGGCAGCTCTTAAAACCTGAACTTAGAATTAAAGAATAGCCATCAAAGGGAAGTGCCGATTATGAAGCATTTCTCAGAAACACCTCAATCCCATTATCTTGACCTTCATCTTCTTAGGACAGGGCAGCGAGTGATTCACCTCCAATCTGTCCCTTCCTCCAGACAGAAAAAGCTGGCCGGGGCTGCAAGATCAACAGAGGGATTAAGGGAAATGTAATTGAACATTGCTAGCTTAGGCGCACAGCGGGTGGCCTCCCTCTCCGTGGACCGCGGCTCGGTGGCCGGTGGGGTCAGGATGCGCCGGAGATGATTACGGTTGGGCTAAACAACCAGATTAGCCAGGACACCCCTTGACCCCTTGGTACAGGGAGCCAGGGGCTGGTGGGATTGTAGCCTGAGAAGTTGAGAACTGTGACCCTGCCAGTAGTGGGATGCTTGAGGGTCTTGAAGGGATTCATAGGATCGCTGAAAAGAAAAGGCCAGGGTGGTTGGTGTAACCTGTATGTCCACCTGAGGTTTCCCTGTAAATGTTTATTCTGCAAAACAGAAAATACCGGGAATGTGGGCATCAGCTCCAGGATGTTTGCCAGAAAGGAAAGATTAAATAGAGGGATCCAAAATAGGCTAGATTATCTGCCCTTAAGTATGACTTAATAAGCATTATACCGGGACTTTGATGCTCTGATAATTAAAGAGACGTTATTTACCTATGCTGGGTCCCAAATATAAGTTTGAATGAAGTTAGTGTTTAGACAACACGAAGGCTCTCAGCAGTGCTACCACCATAACCTTTGATGATTTGGGTTTGTTGCAACGAGTCCTGGATTGTTCCACGTCTCGCTGAGAGCCCTTGCAAGGGTGAGCCCTTCCTCCCCTTCCTCCTCCTCCTCCCCACCCATGGGGGGACCCCAGCGATGCACCGGGGTCAATACTGTCTTCCGCGATGCGGTGAGGGCTGGGAGGGCAGCGTTGGCAGAGCCTGGCACCACCTGGCTGGTTTGCCAACAAGGGAGTTAAGTCAGTTTTCCTGTGTTTGGGTTGGTTTTTTTCCTTTTGTTCCCCACCCTCAGTGTGCGGGAGCAATGCTGTGAGTAATCGCTGATTTTAGTAACGAGATTGGATTTTCTGCTGACATCGCTGGGGATAAAGGAGGATTTATAGATACTTCAGCTATATTAAGCCATTATTACAATTGATTTCCAGACACAAAAGGGACCTGAGTCATTATCGATTCAATACCCCGGCAGAGAAACCTGGCATGAGCAGGTCGTGTTGGGCTGCTAGGCAATGCTACAGCTGTGCCTCTTCTGAGATGCAGATTTCTACATAATTTTATCATTCCTTCACATTCTGGTGTGAAGAAAGACCTCTTAAGTCATCACCTTGGCTTAAGCCAAACTTCCAGTGTCCTGCTCATCCAGGCGAACTAATGGGGCTTTGCCGCTGGGGGACTGCCCCCAGTACCAGGGGTTTCCCAAACCCTCTGCCAGCCGATGGCAAAAAACTCACCAGTAGCTGCTCCAGCCCAGTTGAGACCCAAGAAGCTTTCCATCCAAGCATCCGTGTCAACGAGCAGGTTCTACCTTCTATTTTGAGGCTGCAGCATCTCCTCCCTGCTTTGCTCCACAGGTGCTTGACCTGCCCCCAGGCCTCGGTGGAGCTCGTTGTCACTCTAAGATACCTCTCTGGGGCAATAGGAATGAAATGAAAAATGATCCACTTTTGATCACCATTTTAATGTGAAAGTGACTCTTGAGACAATTTTCCTGTGGTCCTAAGAAGAGAACTTGGGTTACAAGAGGAAGGGAGCTAGGGATGGAAATAAAGCTGTTGGCCCAAGTCTGAAATTCACTCCTCTTCCCTCCTGCTTGTTTCAGAAATAGAAAAGGGGGAAGAGGATGTGAGGCCACTCTGTGCACCCCAGAACCCCACCGAGGCTCAGAGCAGCTCATCAGCCCAGGGCAGTGGCCGGAGGGTGAAGATGGCTTCATGATGGCACTGTCCCTCTCTGCCATGCTGCCTGTCCTCAGCGTGACCTCCTGTCCAGAGCAGCAAAATGCCTGACTGGAGGCTCTCGGGAGAGATTTGTTAATTAAAGCCAGGCTTTTTAATCCTTCTGTCCAACAGCCTGGATCTTTGAAGCAGGATTTAATGATCCCTGGACTAGTAAGTCTCTTGGGCCTTTTCCTGCCAGCCAGCTTAGGCACACTGTCGGGGACAGGTCTCGCTGCTGGAGAGGTGGCCATGAGGAGCAACAGCCCTTTGCCAAGGTGCTATGGGGGGATTTCACACCAAAGGTCATCTCAGCACCCTGGTTTCTGCCTCTGGGCTGCTCCTTCTGGGGTCTAAACCCTGATCAAAGGGGGCTGCTCTTGGGGCTGCTCCTGATGTGCTTGGTGGCACGTTCCATGGCTGTGGTGGAAATGCTGCTGGATCCTGGCAGGCAGGAGAACTTGCAGCAGGGACATCCTCACCGCTGAGCTGAACCTGGGGCTCGTCCCGATATTTCACCTCAGTGCAGGTCTCCTGGGGAAAAGGCTTGTCTTCAGTAATGTTTCCCGTGACAAGTCTCATGGGCTGAGGCATCCACAGCAGGATGGGATCCTTTCCCATCGTGAACTTGAATCTTTTGGATTGGGTCCGGAGGAGGGCCACAAAAATAACCAGAACGTGGGAATACCTCCCCTGTGACGACAGGCTGAGAGGGTCAGGGTTCAGCCTGGAGAAGAGAAAGCTCCAGGGAGACCTTAAATTGGCCTTTTAATACTTAAAGGGGGCCTCAAGAAAAATGAGGACAATCTTTCTAGCAGGGTCTGTAGCAACAAGAAAAGGGGCAATGGTTTTAAACTAAAAGAGGGGAGATTCAGACTAGATACAAGGAAGAAATTTTTTACTCTGTGGATGGTGAGACACTGGCACGGGTTGCCCAGAGAGGTGGTGGAGGCTCCATCACTGGAGACATTCAGGGCCAGGCTTGACGGGGCTCTGAGGAACCCGATCTAGTTCAAGACATCACTGCTCGCTGCAGGGAGGTTGGACTAGATGACCCTTAAAGGTCCCTTTCAACGCAAACCATTCTGTGATTCCATGAACTCGGGGCAGGGGAAGGTGGTCGCTCCTTGCTTGTGCCTTTCTCGGAAGCTTTCTCGTCTCTCCCAGCAGGCACTGTAAGATACCTTGAGTCTCTGTGCTGTGCTAGCGGCCTCAGTGCAGAGATACCTGAGGCTTTTCATACATGTTTTTTAACAGAGGTGCCCAGGAGCTGTGCTGGAGGCTCCATCCCTCTGAGACAGCCCACGGAAACTGTGATTCTTCTGTCTCTATGTCATAGGCTCTTCTTTTTCTCCAGGTATTAAGGTAATTGGTGGTATCAAGGAACTGTCTGGAGAAGAATACGGAGTTTATGTCAAGAGGATCCTTCCAGGGGGTGTTGCTTATGTGGATGGTGAGTGAAACATGATGCAGAATACCACAAAGTCTGAAAAAAAACCCCAAATTCAGTGTGTTTACTTTATACATTGCCTCATGAGACATTTCAGGTGCTTCCAGATTTTCAAGTAGTGGGGTTAGTTTTTTAGTGTGGCAATCTCTGTAACTTTGGTTGGCATCCTTGTCTTGGCTTCTCTGCATATGAGCCATTGCTTCGTGTCTTTAAAGCAGGGCCCCTCTCTGCCACCCAAAGAATTTCACTTTGTTGCCTGTCCGTTCCCACGAGCCACTCACTGTCTGCAGCCCTAACGTGACCTGGGATCCTCTGGCAGCCTCAGCTCTGCTCTGGGCCACTGATTTCATTCCAAGCATCTTCAAATAAGGAGTTATTAGGCAGGGCTCTGTAGAATTCACCTTCTGTAATTTGAGTTTAAAAGATTTTATTTTTATTTATTTTTCAAGTACCACAACATCATTTTTCCACTTAATGAAGGAAAATAAATCCAGAACAGGTAGGAGTGCCACTCATGGCTCTTCTGCCTGACTTCAGAATGAATTAAATAAAAGCTTTATTTATTTTTTTTTTGTATTTGCTTTCATAGCTTTCTGCAGCAAGAAGGTTGCAGAAACTTCACCTATGAACATGTTGAAAAACGGGTTAGATGAGGATCTCAGAGACGACCCAAGCGTATTTCATCCTGTCTCTGGGCAAAGGGAGGAACTGCCCAACCTCTCCCAGTCCCTTCAAGCAGTATTTTCCACACTTTTTGTCCATTGGTTGTTTGGGTTTTTTTTGTTTTATTTTTTAGGGCGCCTGCAGCCAGGAGACCAGATCCTCGAGGTCAATGGAGATTCCCTAATTGGAGTGACAAGTGAGAGGTACCGTCTCCAAATGGAAAGTTTCCGTTCACATTGCTTTTTGTATAATTCTGTGAATTGGTTTGTGCTGCAGATTGCGCAGACGACACCGGGGCATCACGGGGTCTGTGCTCTGTTCCTGAGAGCCGACTTGGGAATCATCAACCCAAAAGTTTCTGTTTAAAAATAGACCAGTGGAACCAAACTGTATTTGTGAGATATTCAGATATCTCCCCTAAATGCCGTTTTGTTGGTTTTTTAACAGCTCCTGGCACTCGTACTCCATCTGCTGCTGCTTTCCAGCAAGCCCCACAGCTCCCAGCACTAGAGATGTGCATCTTCTCGGGCTGCTTTTTTATTGAGAGACTTCTAAGTTATTGCAGAAGTGGGGAAAATCAGGCTATGCCCCACAGCCTCCAGCTGGAAAAAGCTCCTGTGGTTGCTGATGGGGGTTTGCCCAGGCCATGGGTCAATGCCCAGCTTGCTGTCAGCTTTGATGCACCAGCTTAGAGCACTGCTGAGAACCAATGTTGATATGTTGTGGTCCTTGTCTCGCAGGGCTGTGGACATCCTGAGGACGGCATCGGCCACCAGCCACATGCGCCTTCTTATAGCCCGCGATGATGACGCCAGGTAAGGGATGTCCTCTGACATCAGGAACGGGGAGGGCAGTGCTCACTGGTGTCGTAGCTAGACTGCCTTTGAGCTAGCCATATGAAGATGGAGGTGGCCAAGGATCTTTGAAAACTGTACACTGGTGTGAATGTGCTGGAGCTGTGATGGGAAGGGAAGCAAAGGTGGTGGCTCACAGCTGCAGACATGGCTCCAGCCCAGACCATGCCGGGTCTGTGAAGTGTCTGTGAAGTGTCAGCATTGAGGTCCAGAGAGGACCAGGGCAGCTCCAGCCTTGGCTGTAGGGCAGCACGCGTTCCTTTTGCTCTGCTGTGTGGTGCTGGTGACTTATCATGTCCTGCACAAAACTCTGCAGGGACAGCAGCGTCGTCTTTTTCCAGTTAGATATGTAAAGCTAAAGGTCTTCCTTCCCCAGAGGATTCCTCCGTCTCAGGGAAGATGAGCAGTTTCTCCCTGGGAAGCCTCTAGAGAGGCTTGGAGGATCCAAAAGGAGAAGGGAAGAGTTCAGGTTTGTCTTGGCTGGATGTAAGCTGTGTGTGTCATGAGAGAGGGCAGCATTGTGGAAACCAAGGTATGGGTTTAGCAGGGTCTCTTCTCGCATCCCCCAGGAGATGTGGAACAACATGCTGGAGCATCCCCTCCCCTACATAGAAACACGGGTCTGGAAACTTGAGGTGCACCAGGAACCGCCGAGATGAGTGGGTTTCGCTGAGTGTGGTTGTGGGCAGGCAGACTGGTGGCACCGGGGCTTTGCGCAGTGTGTGGGTGGCTGAAGATCCCAGAGTGGTTTGCTCAACGTACCCGCAGCCCGTTAGCATTGGAGATGACAGCTTCGTTCCTTATCCATCAGCAGTGGTGGAGCATTACTGCCTAAGCAGAACAGTGAGAGTGCTGTAATGACAGGGATGAGGCTAATTTTGACACCATAATACACTGGTGGAAGAATTATTTGCTATTAATGACAGACTGCTTTTTACTTACACTCTTCCGGTGAAAATAACCCAAGTTATTACATTAACTGCAAGTCCTTCAGCTGAGGGAAGCACAGGGTGAAGCGAGCAGGTCACCAGACTCATGGTCCCAGTAAGGATGCCCAGGATGCATTCCTGTGCCCCAGCAGTCCCCTGCCCTTGCCTTAGTGGCAGTGGGCACATTGTGCTGTCCTCTCTGAGTGGCTGTTACTGGTTCCCAGTAAGAGCGATGGGTTCCAGCAGCTGAGCAGCTCCTTGCTCCGATCAGCAGCAGGACCTGCTCAGGGAGACGCTTTATTTCTCAGCTAGACACCCCCCCTCCCCAAGCAGGTTTTCTGCTTTCACCCAAGTTGATCTGTTCCAAGCTGCTCAGGCATCTCTATGTGCCTCCTAATATGTTAAAATTGCAGCAGATGTTTCTGAAAACGAATGCTGGTGTGGCTTTACCGGCAGCTCCAGCTCCTTTGTGCATCTGTCGGCAGTCCCCAGTTGCCCCGTGAAGGAAAACTAACTGGGGGAGACTGGGAGGGCAAGGAAACTCGCTGCAATTCATTTGGCCTCTGTTTGCTGTCATTTATCTGTTAAATCTGCAAAAGGTTAGCCAGTGGGAGAGCAGGGAAGTAATCAGTTTATTTATTTATTTTAAAAAAAAAAAAAGATTTGCAGAGATTTCACTTACATAATCATCTCCTAAACTGTTTAATACACCAACACGCATCTCCAGGATTAAGGGCTGTGGAAACAAGTGAGGGATTTTTTTCCGCTTTCTACTTTGTTGGGTTGTTTTGGGGTTTTTTTCTCCCCTCCCCTTAGTTTCGTCTTTGTCTTATTGATCCCTTATTATCTTTTAAGTCTGTCCCAGAGCGTGGGCGAGCAACCAGCCCTCTGTCTGGGTCGGAACGGGCTCTCTGCCTTCCTGGGGACAGTCAGCTCTGGAGGCAATACCCACGGAGCTGCTGTGTCATGAACCCCTGTGAGTTGAGAGCATCCTTGCACCTTCCCATCACTCAGCAAAGCAGCTTAGGAGACATCCAAGCCGAGGAAAAATCATTGTATTTTCACATGCTCACACGCAGGTCGCCTTCATAAAACCCCGAGCACACCAAGCACTCTGGAGGAGGAAACGTAATAGCTCTGGGTTTGGAAGGCGATCCAACCCATCCTTGCCAATTTTCCCAGTGACTCAGCCGAGCAGCATTTTGTTGTGGTTGCCCTCGGGTGAATTTGACTCATGACAGCTATTATTTGTCCCTGGAGTTAATTATAGGCCCAAATTACCTGGGCTCTTCATGGCACTCAGGCATGGCTTGTAGAAGATGCATGGTTTTGACCTGTCGCATCAGACACTCTGCAGACAGTGGCAGTAATGCCAGGACTTAATGCAGAAAATTCCAATTTGGAGCTGGGCTGAGATGACAGCTGGGTCTGTTTTTCCCCCCGTGCTCATCTTTAGCTAATGAGGATAATTTTATTGCGTACGCATAATTATTGTTTATTCCCTCTCAGCCCGAAAGTTACGATAGTTCCTTGTGTCTGCGTGTTGCATAGATATCATCCCGGTCTTTCAGGTTTATCACTGTGAGAAAGCCAGTTTGCTACTTGCTGATAAAATGCTAAATACGTTGCATCTTGGCTTGATGTGCACAGTCATCTCACAGAAAATGGGCAGTTTTGTTACCGGGGCTTGCACAACAAGGAGTAAGGAGAGCAGTCTGCTCCTCTGCAAGTGCAATGCAATCCCCCTTTTTCTTTTTTCATTTCTTCTGTGAGCCCCACGTGTGACAGCAGCAGCTCAGCTCCCAGATTTGTCCTTCTGGGCGCTTGGGGCTAAACTGGGAAGCAGAGCCAGGGCCACCGGGTGCTCTTTGGAGGAAAACCATGCGATTTTACGTAAGAGCCGGGACAGACCCATGCACGTCACTTCTTTCTGAGGTGAAGTAAAGCCCAGCTGTGGTGCTGGAAGGCTCAGAGCTTGAGATGTGCCAGCTCTGTGCAGCTCCAACCCCAGCAGGACCTTGCTGGGATGGACATGGGCTCCATGCCCGGAGCTGCTGCTTCAGAGCATTGTCGCACTCAGGCAGCAGTGGAAATCTGCTTTTGTGATGCTTTTGCAGTGCTCCGGGTTCACGGTTCCCACTGACCTGCAGGCTTTGGGTTGGTTCTTAATTTTTTATTTTTTTTTTTCCCTGTTAAGCTATTAATGTATCTCACAGGCTTCTCTTTCTCCCCCAGCTGCAGTGCAGAGCTGAGGTTTCCAGACTCTATGCTCTCCCATAACCTTTGATGTAGGATTCACTCTTTGCTCTCCCAGGAACAAAAAAGGGTAGGACAGAAAGGTATTATGACATAAAACACCACCATTCTGCTGAAATATTGACCCCCATTGCTTAATCCCTAGCAAAGTCAGCCCACAGCTGGCAACCCCCCGGATCCCACCCCCATGCTGTGGGGCAGGCTGAAGGCTGCGAGGTCCAAGCTCTGTTAGAGGGATCCTCCAGACCTTGAATGTCTGCGTCTTAATGAAAAAGAGCTGGAGAAGGGATTATTAAAACGAACTTTCCACCTAATACAACCCCATCTTGTTGCTGGTTGGTTTTGTTGTTTTTTTAAATAAAGCTGGGCATTTTAGTCCTGCAGGCACCTGACGGTTCAGAGTGTTTTTATCAAGGGTCCAATTTTAAATATTAAAGACACCTTCTGAAGTCTCTTGGTGTCTGAAAGCACAAAGCGTGACCTGTTGGCATTCCCTCAGCGTACTTGTTCATTACTCGGCAGTGTTTGGGCACTGTCTGCCCACTTGCAAATTCCTTCAAATACGGCACTGAGCACAAAATTAATTATCAGGAGGTTGACACCAGAAAGTGTATTCCTTGCTGCGTGTGCTTCAGAGTTAATCATGTGTTTGTGTCCTTGGTGGACCTAGGACTTCCAGCATTGACCAACAAAGCAGGAGCCGGGACAGTGACGGGTGACATCGCCTTTAGTCACATCATCCCTCCAGCGAACGGCTGGGCTGGACCCGGGTTTGCAAAGCAACCCCAGGCTCGGAGCTCGTCGTTCAGGCTCCTGAGCAAATGATGATAAATACTCCTTTTGTGGAGGACCTCAACGACATGAAATAAACAACAACAAAGAACGTTCGAGTCGTACGTGCCTGTGCTTATAGCAGAGTTTGACAGCCTAGGTTGGTGATTGGGTTTGCATTGTTTAGCAGGGTTTAAAGAGCCTAGTAGCTGCCAGACTAGTTGCATTTGCATTGACTAAGAGGTTTGGGGTTGTGTTTTTTTTTTCCTTTAGCCATTGTTTTAAGTTCATAACCTGCTGTGTGCTCTGACGGATTATCATCTGAGGGAAACATAACAATAGATGACCACGGAAACACCCGGCCCAAAACAAAGACCCAACAGCTGATGGCTTGGTAACCCCTGAAAATAGCACGTTAGCTTCCAGCATGTTAGACTTGCTATTGCAATTGGTTAGGGAGGAATAAGGCAACCAGTGCAAGAGTTACTGCTGCCATGGGGGTTTGAATTGCCTGTAGAAATATGGAGGAAAGCTGGAAAACTTTTGCTGAGGTAAGATCCATCCAAGGCTTAACCCAGGGCACCACAGAACAGCAAACTGCTGGCCCGCTGCTACAGGATCTAAGTTGTCCTTCCACCCCTCTCCAGACTTTTATATATATTTCAGTTACGAAACTGCCTGTTAGAATGGTTTTGTGGAAGATGGGGTGTCTGAACAAAGTTGTTGTCTTTTTTTAGGGTCACGGGTTTAGTTGATAAAGCCAGCAGTGTTGATGCAAAGTATTTGGATTCTCCAAAGCATTCCACTAAGTATTGTGTGACATTCGGGTATAAAATTAGCATTAAATGGGATGAATGAGGCATACATTTGATGGCAATATTAGATAAGGCAGGCACTGGTCTTTGAAGTTCTTTAATGAGCTGGTTGTTAATGGGAAGATGTAAATTACTGAGAGCATTTCCAGCAGGAACCTATGGAGCTGATGATTCATTCATCATTTAATATTGTTGACTCTAATCTAGCCAATAATATAGAACATCTGTCCCAGTAATGTACGCAGATGATACAACGTCTGCTTGTGTGTAAGAGGAGTCTCCTCACCAAGGAAACTTTGCTGTGGCTGGTTGCCTACAGATTTATGTCTTGAGCTTGTTTGACTGTCAAGTGCAAGAGCTAGCTGCTCATAACCTCGCTTTTCCTGTGGCCACAGCATGAGAAGACATCTTCCCATGGGGATTCCCTGACGCCTTCAAAGTGGACATCTCATGTCATTATTGTGACCACAAAACCTGCCCTTTTAGGGTCTCTCCCTGTTGCCTGGCTACTTTTTAAACGAGAGTCATAAGAAATCAGTCATCCTTGAGGCTCTTCTCTTTGCCAAAATCTTGCGCGGACCAGGTAGTGTTGGGTTATGATGGGAGAGAAGCACGCATTCTGGGAGCGAAAAGCCAACAGGGCAAGAGGCCGATGCTTGAACATGACATCTCCTTTCTGTGCCTCCTCACCCAAAAAGAGTGCAAGAGCCTCGTGGCAGCTCAAAGAAGGGTTACAGAAATGATACAGGAGCTGGTAAGCGCAGTTAGTGGTGGTTCTGAATGGGCTTTGAAACCTCAATATGTTATGCTTGTTAAAAGGAAGGTCAGGAAGCAATTCACTGATGGTGCGTGCACAGGTAGTTATAGCTTGTCAAGGACTCCACATGCCTGGGTAGTTAGACAGTGGTCAAACTCATCCTGGAAGGAAAGCAATAATGAAGGCACCGAGACACCAAGCCAGGTTTCCAGGGGATGTTGTGGATGAGATCGCTTCACAGGGAGGTAATGCAGGAAGCAGGTGGGGTTTACCTCAAAGCTAAGCGATTGTGCTAAATGCTTGTGGGCTGCCATTCCTCCCTGTTCTCAAATTCACTGGCAAACCCTTCTTAACTTCATACCTGTAAATTTAGTGTATGCCTGCTGGTTCGGCATATTCAGCTGGGAGCTGCTGGGAAGAGTGCAGAAGCCGGGCTTTATGGGTGCAGGTCTTTGTTAAGGTCTTGTGCTCCAAGAGTTTATTTACCCTGTGATGTGCCCATGACAGGGCGGTTGGACTAGATGATATCTAAGGTCCCTTCCAGCCTATGCCATTCTATGGTTCTATGATATCACCTGGGATAGATTCAGAGAGTGGGCTGCTTCTTTTGCATGAGCTTCAGAAGACATCTCCCATCTTCACTCCAGCAACAGTGAGCAGGATCTGCTTTCTGTCTAGGAGAGGAGGAGAGAAAGAACAGAATCATCTACCTTTGGCTATTTCTGGCAAGAGTTGCAAATAGGCCAAGCACTTTTATTTTATGTTTGCATAGTTACAACTCCTTCTCTGACAGTCTGTTTAATTTGTGTGGTGCATTAGTAAAACTTCTGAGCCCCATAGCTGGGGGTGAAATTATGCCAGCTGACTCCTGGGAGGGGATTCTTCTGCCCTCTTTCAGGAAGGACAGTCCCCATCACCAGTGCCTGTCTGTACAACCCTTCCCAGCTCCTCTTGCACAAGTGCACCCCAAACACTTTCCAGGGTGGGAGAAGACCACACTGAAGTTCCAGCCCATCACAGGAAAGCTGCTCCATCACGAGACTGATTATTGACTTTAAGCCTTGCACAGCCTCTAGGAACCAGGGGGGTTATGTATGAAGAAGCTCTGTCTGCTCCCCATTGCTGGAGGGCATCAGCCCTATAGACTTGGCAGAAAGTCACTGCCATCAGAAGCACCGTTGTCATACAATCAGGTGGGCAATAGCTGACTAGACTGTGTTTTTCTTTTTAGGAGAGAGTTCTCCGAGCTGTTGGAGAAGTTTGGCTCCCAGAGCAACACCGGCTCTGCGCGGAGCTCGCCGATCCTGCACGGCGGCAGTGAGTAGCTCAGAATGCCTTTAGGGGGAAACTCAAAAACCCACAGGGAGTTTTCTTTATCCCACTATCATTCTGAAAGAGTTTTGATTGGATTTGCGTAGGTGTCGCAGGTGGAAGTTTGCAGGAAGAGAAGTCCTGCTTGTCCTTATTGTACGAGCTCGGTACGGCCCTGGGTGCGGAGCAGCAGGGATGGCCAGTGCTGCCTGCACAGGGTGAAATGGGAAAAAGGAAATACTTAATGAGATGAAACAAGGTTAACCTAAATGAGGTGCCAACGCATCAAATCATGAGTGTGTGAGGAAAGAAGCCGTCTCTGCTTTGGCATCCTATCCAAAGGCTGCCAACCCTTTCCTCATGGCAGAGGTTTGGAGGGGTGACAGTCCCACGCAGGAGTTGTGACAAGGAGGCTGAATATTTCTTCTCCACGAGCAACATATTGATGCCTTTAGTGTGTGTTTCTCCCACAAAAGCTACGAAAACAGTATCAGCCCCCAGCAGGGGAGGCAGATGCTGGAATGTTTGCCTTCCCTGCATTGACTCTGACTTTACTGTTTAGGTCGATACCTGGAAAGCACATCCTCAGGCTCCTCCTCGCGCTCACAGAGCCCGCTGCTGCTGAGCCCCGCCAATTCCCACGGCCCCTTCATCGGCAACCCGGCGCACCCCCCGCACGCACAGTACGTAGGGGACCAGCCCCACAAAGCCTGTTCCTTGGTCACCCGGGAAGACCTTGCCAAATGTCCCACACTGTCTTAGGGGTAGATCCGGTAATTAACTGATCTAATCCAAATGCCTCACTCAGCCTTATGTCCTCGATGCTGTTGTGTCACCACAATGGTTAGGAGACCACCTCATCTTCTAGAAATCTTTGTGGTGGCATCTTGACCGTTCCTGGGAAGCTTGTGCCCAAGAGCTGAAAAGCTTCCTTGTCAATGCGTCTACAGTATGGGTAACCACGCAACTGCTCCTCTTCCTCCCCTCTGAACCCCGGGGAGAAGCTGAGAGGACCCTGCACATCACATTTATAAACTATAATGAGCGGAATGTTTCTTCGAGGCCAGTGGTGCTTTCGGAAGGCTTCCAGAAGCTTGTTTTCCATTGCCCTGCTTCTGGCACCTTGACATCATGTGACAAGAGCACGAGCACTGCCCTCTTGGTGTAAACACTCCTGACACCCTTTGCTTCAGTGTCAACAGTGGTTGCCTGCAGACGCCCCATCCTTTTGTCTCCAGAGCATCTCCTGGAGCATGTGTTTTCATGTGGTCATCTGGCCCTTTCATATTTCACAGGGTCAGAGGCTTGGACAGGCAGAGCTTGTTTTTCTGCGGAGTCTCGTCTCCAGGGTGCTCTCAGGGTTGCCCTTCTCAAGAGGGTCAGCTCGAAGGGTGTTAACAAAACCGGGAGTTGGGATCATTCATTCCCAGGGCTTGCAGCTTCCCTCCTTTTGCCAGCAAAAACAAGCCAAGTTGTTGGTAAAGAGAATCAGCTCTCACTGCAGAACTAGTAAATCCTCTTGCTAAATACCAGCTCTTTATTAGGGATTTGCAGAGGACAAATATTTGGCACCAGAGGTTTAAGCTGCTTGCACGGTGTGAGAGACCCTTCCAGAGGAGAGGCCAGCTCAGCTACTTGGCAGCTGGTTTGGACAAACTATCCCTGCTTGGCCGTTAACCCGCTCCAGCCTGCAAGATGGGCTAGAGGGACCTGGTTTGGTGGCCTCCTTGCCAAGCGTTGCTGTGTCTGTGCCATGTTCTGCCTATCTCCGTGACGGTGCCGGGCTCTGGTGTCTTCTGCTGAGAGCAACAGAAGCCGTTTGAAGTCACCGAGCGTTGACTGCAGCTGAGCATTAGTGGCCAGCTGCAGGGGCGGCATTTGGGTCACAGGTCTTTTCACACATGTGGCTGCCATCTTACCACAAGTTGTCTCCAGACTGTGGCCACTCATTGCAGTGTCATCTGAGGTCCTGCCCACCCTCCTGAGCAAGGGAATCTGATAGAATTCAATCTCACCACAGTGTCTGATATTTTGATTTGAACAGAGAGGTTTGATACTGTGTTTCATGATATCATTTTCCAAAAGTATTTCCTAGAACAATGTTTTGTCAAAAGGCTAAGGAAAATACAGTCCCTTTTCTCCCCCTCAAAGCCAGCTGGTTCTCCTGGGGACCAGTTTTGGGGGTGTTGGCAGCACACTGCTCTGTCCCTGGGGTGTCTGACCACAGGAGATGACACTGTGGAGCAGTCACATGCCGGTGTCACCATGGGGCATAGGATGCACAGCTCTGAAATTATCAGGTAACACAAAAAGGACAAGAAACTGCAGAGCCTTTGGTGAGTGGCTGCTGTGGAAATTAACTGAGGAGGAGAAAAGCCAACCACAGCCAGCCCATTAGGAGAAAAAGGCTTTCTGACCCTTAGATCCCACCAAATCCTACCCCAAAGCCTCCCTGCTGGCTTAAAGGCTAGTTTCTTAGGCTATCTTGTGAGATTTTGAGTCCAAACCTCGGTTAAGACATGGTGAGCTCTATATCCTGAGCTTTGCTTTGCCATCTGCTAAGAGCTGCTTAATAGTTGACCGATTTGTCGACTTTTGCTGTCTGATGATTTAGCTGGATTCAAACAATAACCACGTTGATCCTGCATGTACTTTTGGTTATAAAACCCAAGAGTACCAAATATATTCTGGTTAGACCTTTAGTTTCTGTCTCAGTTTTAGAAATGCAAATGAGTGTTCCCCAGCATTTGGGATTACGCAAGCCGATCGTCTTCCTAATGCTGACCAATGCTGAGAAATAGGAGTCCTCACCTCCTCTTTCCAAAGCTGGGTAGAAGATGCAGAGGCAGAAGATGTTGGGAGAAGTTAGAAGGATCACGTATGGAAAGAAAACCAGGCAGAGATTGTTCAGCAATGCAGGAATATAAACCAGACCACTCCGAGTCACCTGCTAACGTCTCTCCTTGCAGCTACTCCATTGAATCAGGAATCCAGAGCATTTCTATAGCAAAGTCCTCCGGCTTAGGGCTGACGATCAGTGGTGGATCTAACAGGCCTGATGGCCCAATGATTTATGTTCAAGAGCTTATGCCAGATGGTGACTGTTACAAGGTAAGTCAGTGTGGAGACCCTTGGTGGCTTTGTAATGGGGACCTCTCCTAAAGGCTGTAGCTCTTCTGCAGCAGCTCTTCTATGAATAGATCCTGTCTGTGACATCGGCTCCACTTTTATGTCCCTGCCTACTGTTGGGGGGGTTAGACTAGCTTAAAGCTTCTTCCAACCCAGCACATTCTACGATAAATAACACGTTACACAGACTAATGAGAATGAAGTCTTTGGGCAGAGAGATGACTCTTTCCAACACTGTGACTTTCTTTGTCTTTGTTTAGGATGGTCGGCTCCGACCCGGTGACCAACTGATCGCTATCAATAAAGATTCTTTGGTGGGCAGCACACATGAAGAGGCCAGAAAAATAATTGCAAAAGCCAAACTCAGGTAGACATATACTGTGTTTCTTGTCGTCTTCACGGTGCTGCTGAGTCTTAGACAGAAACCCTTCACGTCATACCAAGGTTTGACTCGAAGAAGCCTGGAGAAAGAACCACAAGCACAGAAGCTCTGCAAATTTCCGTACTTTTTTACTGGTTTCTTTTTTGTTAATAAGATGTTCTGTATTTGTTGTTTAAGACACGAGGGAAACACAGAAGTGGCCTTTATTCCTGGAAGGGGACGGTTACACCCTGGACTGTCACTTCATAACAACGTCTCGTCGCCACCTCCAAAGGCTGTGGGAAACGGCCTGAGTTCTTGTAGACTGAGGGTCCACGTGCGGTCCCCAGAGGTAGGTTGAAGCTCACCTCTAAGACCACAGATATTGGTCCTGTGATCTTTCTTTGATCGGAAAGCTCTTCTGTAGGGACTCCATGGCAGTCCTTCTGGATGGTGGAAGGTCTGTAATGCTGATGTACATAGCCCTGTTATACAATCAGATATTTTAAATCTGAAATACTGTTTATTTTGCCTTGGGTTTGAGACGGCAAAGGATCTGTGGAGGTAATGAGAGGAGTTTCATCTCCAGGGCCTGCGTTCAGACCTGTTTCAGGTTTTAAAAACACAAAACCCTCCCATGGATAGCAACTTGCATCTCATTCAGCACTAGTCATAGAGCTGGAAGGGATCTCAGGAGTCGGTTTGATCTAGTCTCCTACCCAAAGGCAGGAACAAGTCTTTATTCTTAAAGAACTCTGATGAGGATGAATCCGCAGCGTTCTCAGCAGCCCATTTCTGTTCCTCGCCAGCCTAATGATAAGCCAGGCTCATTCCTCCTGTCAAGGCTAGCTCCACTTTTTTTTTGTGGAGACAAGTGCTCGAGCTGTGCGTGGTGAGGCAGGCTTTTAACCGCACAACCCTCGTGGTAATTTAGGCCTGTGACTGGGTTCTGTGCATTTGTCACTCCTCTCCTGGACTGGTGCAAAGCCAGGTGGATCTTCTGCCCTCTTCCACATTAGCTTCCTTCGGAAAAGGATGACTGGATGTTCCTTTCGTACAAGCATCGTTCACAAAATATCTTTCTTTCCAGACCCTGTGGAGACATGGACGTGCAAGAATGTCATATACATGTTGCCTTTGGAGACTGGAGATGTGCTTAGGAAAGTCAGCTTTAGCCCATATACATGTAGTTTGATCCTTCACCGCCCAGGAGAAGGTGTGCTTGTGTAACATCAGGCACCTATCTGAAACTACGCTGGTGTCTGGAATTAAATTTTACTGCTAAAAGATGGAACCTTTAATGAGATCTGGGCTTCTCCGCTGGCAAAAGCGAGCTCGGGCACCCGTACTACCTTTCTGCGTGTCCTCAGTCCTGTGCCCAGCTCTGCATCCAAGCTCCCAGCTGTGGAAGTTGGTGCTGGGCATATCTACCCTGTGACTCGAGTTTTCCCTCTGAGTTGTGCTTTCAGCCATGACCTGGCACGAAGGGAAGGGTGAGCACTGGCCGCAACTTCCCAGCATGCTCACTCTGATAATTATGTATTTTGTGTTCTCCCAAAATATTTTAAAAACTTCAACAACTGGATTCTCTTTTGGCCCATCTCCACAAGAGGCAAATGTGGTTCCTTTGCTCTTTAGGGATTACTGTCCCTTGAGCACCTCCACCTTCTGTCTTTATTTAAACTAACAGATTCTGCTTAGCGATTATCTGTGTTGTTTTGTCTTGTTTTTCTAGAATACACGTGAAAACAATTTTCCTGTGCCTTCTTTGTCACCGGATGTTTGCCCACCAGAACTTACCGTCTCAGGTAAGAGTCCTGCTAAATCGTTTTCTTTTGTGTGGCTGACAAACCTTGACCCCTTGGCGCTGAGGATGGTGAAATTAATTTGGATCAGCGTTTATTCTGCTGCAATGGAATCTAATGGACTCAGCCTGCTAGGAGGGAAGGAAGGTAGAAGCTTGGCTTACTCAATGGGTAATAATTATGTCTGTGTTTGTCTGTAGTAGCAAAATCCTTTGCTAAGGCGTTTTGGGGACTAAGGCGTTCATAAGAGAAAATTTCCATTCTCAGCCTGAGGTTTGTTTGCAGCAGCATCTTTGCCCATGTGCAAAGGTGATGTCAGACTGGCACACAGCAGGTCTCACTGCAGGCAACGTTCCTTTCTAATGGGAACAGGTGGTCCTCAGTATTAAAAAAGTCAGTTAGTGATAGTTGTGATGTACACAGCAACCTTGGGCATTATACAGGCGTTAAGGATGCCCTCAGTTGGTCAAATTGGGAAATTGCTTATGGGTGTGATGAAGTCAGATTTCTCTCAATGTTTAAGCTTTGCTCTTTACTTGCTATTCCATGCTGTGTTTTCTCTCCATGCTCTGAGTCCTCTACTGAACTCTTACCTTTTGTGGGACAGACCTGCTCTGTTCACCTGATAAGACGGCAGCGACACGAGGCAGGGTGGTGAACTCTAATCACCCAATGGCTTTGCGGGTCCCTTAGGAATCACAGGAAACCTTGATAACCCCCATGATCCAGAGTGCAAGGAGATCTCCCTTATCCCTATGATATGAAGGTTACTCCTGCCCCAAGGATAAGCTGAGCTTTCCCTAGCCAGTCCTGGGTAAATGCTGCCCATCGTTCTCGCGGCCCTCCTTTCCTTCCCTTCCCCGCATGCTGCTGAGGCACTGGCCCTGCTTGTGGATCCTGTGCCCTGTTGTAATTTCCATCGTGAAGGCTAAGAGTGAGATAAAGTGGCGTTTAGTCTACACCTGGGATTAGCAGGAGAGACAGGGAGCAGACGACACTGAGCTGAGCTCAGTTCCCAGGGATGCCTGTCTCACCTTGGGCAAGCTCAGCAAGGCTTCAGCCTTCACCTTCTGCATTCTCTGCTGCAGAGACCCTGGGACAGGGGCTGCCCCTGGTCTGTTCTCTCTGCCCCAAACATCCTGCAGGCCTTGGCTGCAGGTAGGCTCTTTGGTGATGATCACAGACAACCAGAGCTCCTGGAGACGAGAAGCGAAGCCCTGGGTCATGTAGGCATCCCAGCAAATATCAGTGACCTAATCGCGTCCTGACTTGGTGAGGGGATTTTATTAGACGCGGGTTTTTTGTTTGTTTTTAATGTGAAGTGCTGAGGAGGCTTTGTGTCAGTGTTGTCATCCATGAAAACAGACCAGTGGCTTTGAAAGAGCAGCAGCCAGGCTTGGAGCCTGGGCTGGTGCCTGCCTCTCTCTGGGTGCCTGATGGATGCCCTGGATATCTCCATGTCCAGAGCTGACAGCAAAGCCACGTGGAGCTAATCCTGATTAGCCACGCGTCGAAGGGTAACAGCTCTGCCCTTGAACTTGGAGAGTAAAGCGTCGATGGCTGATCCAGCAAAACCCACTTGTTACCTCTAGCTGTTTCCCAGCCGCTGGCGTTAAGCAGGGCCGAGGAACACCCGCATTAGGAGGATCATGCTTGCGCAGCACCTCTGCTGCTTCTCGCTGCCTTGTCCTTGCGCTTGCCCTGATGGTTGAAGTGGGTGCTCGAAAGGTTAGGGAGAAGAGATGCTGCTCAGCAAGATGGGGCTTCCCATGACATTAATCAGATCACAGGCAGGTGAAAGAAATTGCTTCCTGGGCAAATCCTGTGAAACTGACCCAAAAAGGAATTTTTTCACCAACTTGGGTTGATAGCTTGAGGTTGAGCAGCGTAATTCTTGCACTTTTGTGGAGTGTGGGAGGGCAGCTCCAGAGCCTCCTGCAGCTCTTTTTCCTAGGGAATGTCACCGTTTCTTATGGACAAGGATTAATCATGACGGAGAAAGCAGTGGTTCCCTCCAGGGATGGAGGAGCACACGTGGCGGCAGGGCTCTCTGTCATTTCAGCTGAGAGGGCAGTGCTGGGAATGATGAGGCATCAATTCCACTTTCTGTGTGAAAGCTAAGGCTGCATTTTATAAAATATTGTGTTTCAGTTTTACTTAATCAATTAGAGATGACAAGAGCCAGGCAGATTTTTTTTTATTATTATTTTATTTTTTCACAGACTCCAAGACTCCACAAAACCTTGCAACTGGAAATTTCTGAAGCGCTATTTAAGTAGTCCTTATAATGGCTCATTTTAAATTGTGCGGAAGCCCAGATTCAGTAAGGGTTTGCCCTGGTATCCAGGCTTTACAACAGTAGCCTAGTTCAGCCTTCCAGCCTGCCGTGCACATCCTATATTTCATTCAACAAGAGCTCTGAATTCGGCTTTGCAGGCACCTCTTTCCTCTACTCAAATGCTCCTCAATTATCATTTATTTTTGTTTTTTTTCAGCACCCACTTCAGCATCTAATCATAAAGGAGCTTCAGGCACCAAACCAAAAGTAGCACTGGATCCCCATATCCGGCTCAAGGATGGGAAACTGGAACTGGTAAGTCAAAGGCATCCCTCTTCCCAAAGCCAGGTCTTCAATTAATCTGTTGCGGGTTTTTTGAGATAGAGGTGTAACAGTTGGCCCTCAAACTGTGTTTTTTATCAAGAGTCTGGAAAATGAAAAAAAGGGTCTTGACTCTTCAAATGAGTTTGCCAGAGCTCAGGTCCACCCTCTTAAAAATAAAAAGGGAGAAAAGGGTGAAGTGAAACCTCCTGAGTCTCTCTGAAGGGGCATTTAAACACATGTTGGCTCATCCCGGGTGTTTCTTGGTGCTCTGGGGAGCTCCAGAAGTCTCTTTCTGGCAGTTCCACCTCCCTTGGATGTGACATATTTGACTTGGGGCCATAGGTCCAGGCAGCTGCTCTCCAAACTTCCCAGTGCTGCTGCGGTGACCTCGGACAGCCTAGTCTGGGTGAAGGAAGGCAGAGATCTGAGAGATCTCATAGAGGATCCAGCCAGGGACCGCTGCTCTTTTCAGCATTTTACGGAAAGTCTATTCCATGGGCACCATCAGAGGGCAGGCAGTGCTGCCCATTTGCTCTCCGAGGCCCCAGCAAAGGGATGGCCATGCTCCAGTCTGGTTTTGGGGTGTGTGTTCTGCTCCCGGTTACTGCTGGCATTTGAGGGGGAAGCGCCTTCTGTGAGGGCCAGGGAGCTCCAAGCAGGACCCACTGCCACGAGCATCTGCTGCCACCCGACGGCAGAAGCAGCTTTGGCTGCTCTCGCCTCTCCAGAGGACAGCACACAAGCAGGAACTTGGCTTTTAAGCCTGCGGAATTCTCTGACAGCGGGATTTAGAGTTGCATTTTTGCAGCGACCTCTGCTCGTCATAGGGATAAAAGCAGCTCCTCTTTGGTTGGAGGAGTGGAGATGCTCAGCTTTCACTTTTTAAAAGCCAGTGTTCTGAGCAGGCAGCTGCAGCAGTGCTGAGGTGAGGAGATGCACGACCACCGGCACGAACCTGAGATGATTTCAAGGTGGCCCACGCCAGACGCCAATATCTTCAGCCTGAGGATCAGGATACCTGAAGCTCGGGAGCCAGCAGGACAGCCTTGTGCAAGGGGTGATGGGCAGAGGAGCTGGAAGTAGGGCTCAAACAGGCCTTGCAGGCAGCACATGAAGAGCAGACAGGTCCCGTGGGCTTGTAGGTGACACGAATGTGAGCAAGGACTTGTCCCCAGGCCCCTTCTGGGGCACGGTGCGGGAGGTGCTGTACTGACATGAGCAGGAGCCACGGGTGCAGCCTGGGACCAGGGCAGTGTTTAACTTGGGCTCTTTCCCAGAATCTGCTGAGCTCGACTTTGTCTTTTAAAAGCTTTTACTCACTGCTGCCAGCAGCATAGACGGGTTTGCACAGGTTTATCTGCTTCTCTGTGGTGCCCCGGGGTTGAATTGATAAATATCAGCATAAGAGAGGGCATCAGCCATAATGAGAGAGCAAAAGGTGCAGCGGAGAAGCAAAATGTTTGAATGTCTCCTGTTGCCATGGGAAATACTCTGTGAATAGCTTTTATCTTTTCAGTTCCAAGTGCAATTCCTGAGCAGTAAGAGAAAGAGGAGAGGCTGAGCTCTTCGCAGCTGGGCCTTGCTATGACTCCATCAGCTTTTGATAAAGTTCCCGACAGTTTATCATAGCTGCAAATCTGCTTGCAGTCTGTCTAAGCTGTTCTTGGAGCGATGTGAATATGTCCCTGTCTTCAAGAACAGACATTTCAGTACATGGGTAAGAAAGGAGAGAATGTAAATCCAGCCCAAGCTGCTTCTTTGGGAGATGCTGCCTGGAAAGGAGAAAACCCAGCACCAAGTATCTTCGTAGCACCCATCTCAAAGAGTCGTTTTTCCAGCATTTTTCTTGTTAAAGAATTCTTTCTGCTCAAGGTTCTGCAGTATCTTGGTCTGGATGTGACTGAGGAAAAGAAGAGGCAGTTACGGCAAAGCTTGACCACAGACTCGCAGGGGACGGTGGCCTACGGAGGTGAGCGGGGGGCAGCTCTGAGCCTGATGGACTCTCTTTTCTTTTTTTTTTTTCATTTCTGTCAAATCCAGAATGAACTGGCTTTTCAGCCTTGTCAGTTTAATTCCTTTTCTAAGTGCTGAAGTCAATGAGTTATTTTTTGTTTAAATCGGCAACATGAGACAGGCAGGTGCCTTTTGTCAGAGACGTGTGGTTTTGACTTTAAAAAAAAAAAATTCTGAGAACCACAATCGTGGAAGCTCTGCTGTGAAAATATATTTGGGATTTTTTTTTCTATTTTTTAACAAAGTTTTTCAACTGCATAGGAAACAATAGTCTGGTAAACTCTGTCAACAAATCGGTGGCATTTTTCTCCTAACACACAGAGTTTTCGTCTTTTAGCCTGTTAAAAACTGATCCTCTCTTGCAGATCTTCTCCAAGCACTCAGAGATCTGATGCAGGAGGAGCTGGATGAAGCTGGTCTGGATTCCAACTCTATGCTCTTCACACAGCACGAAGTGGCAAGTTTGCTGGATACATCGGCTTTTCACTCCCCGGTTAGTCAGTTGAATGCTCTTCTGCATTGAATCCATGAGTCTTCGATGTGAAATGCATATAATTCTGAGATGGAAAAAGCTAAATTACCATATTTCAGTTGTTCTAGAGTTATAAAGGGAAGGCAGAATTATGCATGAATCATTTCTGTTATAAAGAATTCTATAAAAGACCTCAAACTTCTCATTTTTAATAAGGAAATAACAACACAGGCTCCTTCCTTCATATCATCTCTGCAGTGACACGGAAGGAAAATTAGCCATAATTAATCAACTCTCTCTAGTTTTACCTGGTCCACACACTAAAAAATCACTGTAGCACAGCTATTCTGGCTGTGTCAGGGACCAGAGAGTGAAATCCTGAGGGGTGAAAACAACAAATAAACCAACCAAAAACCCCCCAACTCAGCAGCTGAATTATTTAACGCACTTTTTGATCTGTGGCATAAAATTGCTGACTCCTTTTCAAAGCCATTTTGATGCATCATTATTCTGGCCCTGGAAAACAACACGCCTGCCATCTAGCCCCACGCTTTTTTGGTAAAGCTGAAACAGTGTGTGATGCTGCCTGTCGCTCTGCCTTGCAGGCCTTTGATTCTCTCAGCTGTAACAGCAACGAGGAGCTGGAGCAGCTGCAGCTGGAAATGATGGATCTGCGGCAAGAAGTCCGAAGGCTAAAGGTGCAGCCTCTCCTCTGAGCAGATTTCTGGGCTGGTGCCTTCTGCTGTAGCTCGCTGTAGAGTCGTACGTGAGGTGTAGACTCACAAGAAGTCACCAGGTTGCATTCTGCGGGTTCCTTGTTACAAAGGAGACTCTCTGCTCTCCTTAACTGCAGCTTTCTTGCACTCAACCTCATGTGAAAACTTGTTTTTACTGAAAGCATGCAGTGCTTTTTGGCAGTGAGAAAATATATTTTAAAACACAAAAACGTACCTCACAAATTAATCAAGTCCAAGGAGAGCAGAAGGACCAGCCTGTACTTCCATCCTGACTGCCAGCACAGCTGTTGGCACCACTGCGGTGCCTGGGTGGAATTCTGGAGCCTCAAAAAGCAGCGGGGCGGGGGAGAATGCCCACAACTACTGTAAAATGTTATTCTGGTGGGCAAGGGCTACAAGACCAGGGCTGTTTCTAGAGAATGCCCTATTGTTTGTTGCTTCTAATCCAGTGAAAATATTTTCCGTAGTCCCTCCTGAAAGAGGTGGAGAGCAGCAAGAAGTCAATGGAAGATGAGCTTCAGAGACTGAACCAGGTTAGGGAAGAGATCACTGGGGCACTTGGAGTGGTTTTGGTGGTTAAGGGGGATCTGGTGCATTGACCAGAACTTCTCCCTTCATCCAGAAAGCTCTTGGCTTCCTCTCCGAGAACCGCACACTGCACAACAAGCTGCAGATGGCTGAGGTTGTGCAGAGACAGGCTCACAGCGCGGAGCAGGACTACGAGGAAGTGATCCACTTGCTGGAAGCTGAAATTGCAGAACTGAAGATACAATTGGTGGGGAAGAAAGCAAAACACGTCTCTGAAATTGAGGTAGTGCAACCTCTCAGCCTGGGAAAAAAACCCACAACCCTCCTGACCCTTCTTCTGTGTGTTTCCCCTCTTGTACTTATAGAAATATATATATATATATTATAATCTGTATCATTTCCAGAGTCCATTCCAAAAGGACAGTGGTTTTCTGTTCGTAGCAAATGTCATAAATTGATGTTTCCAAAAACCAAGGCTGGATCATCATCGTCACTTCTTTCTTCTTCCTCTGACCCCATCACAGGAGGACATCCTGGAACTGAAGAGACAGTTGTCGCTGGCTGACGGCCAGTTACGAAAATCAGAAGTCTCACGGAAGCGCCTGGAGATCTGCAACAGGAAACTGCTCCTGTTTGTGCAGGTGAAGTGCAGAACCTCCCTCGGTGCTGGTGGCATCACTGTGGTCTCTTACCTTCAGGGTGTCTTTGCAAGTCCTAATAACTTCCTGCTCCATAAGCATGGAAGGGTTTTGGTGTTTGTTTGTTTGGGATTTTTTTATTCTACCTCATACTACAAAGGCACTGTCTGTTGGTTAGGAGAAACTAGGGAATAAACTTGTGTATGCTCATGTACCTATGAGCTATGTAAACACTGTGGTGCAGATCTTCCCTGGTGGCTCCGCTGTCGCTGGCTCACCAGTCCCACAGTGACTCTCAGGTTGAGGCTCCTTCGGGAACTCTCTTGTCAAAAACCACGTGTTCTCACTTTCCCTTTGTATAACAGGATTATTGCGTCTCCACACAACAAATGTGAAGTCCAAGAGCAGTTTTGCTCTTCTGGTGCTTTTCCCCCTCAGATTTCCTGCCAAATCACACACATAATTAGTAAATTCACCAGCATGGGATCACTAATATTCAGTATATCTGCTACAGCTACTAGTAGCCTGTCCCAAGAGCACTCGAGATCCCTAGAGAACTGTGGAGCACAAGGAAGCGTAGCTGCTGTGCCCGAGAAGGAAGAATTAAAATGCCTCGAAGACCCTCAGTGCTACATGCTGGTACCCATGCTGTTTGTAGCTGCGCTTTGGGAACAGATCTGACTTGGCCCCAGGGCCTAACATGACAGGATTTTTGACCACTGGAGCAACATATTGTCCTTTTTACACACCTCTCAGTAGCATTTGAGAATTCACTAACCGTTGCATGGTAATGAGAGCTTACGCGTGTGGGTACAATCCAGAAACGATGGGTTGCAAGTAGCGATGATCAAGGCTCAGTGAAATGCAGCCTGCAAAATTGTTGTTTGGAAGAGTGTTTCTATGTTGCATTTCATATATTTTAGTGTTGGTATTAAAATGCGTAATTTAGATGTGTCTATGTATTTGCATAGGCTGTGAATGTTGCTTGAATTGCAAAAGGCCTTGAGATATTTGCTTCAAGGGCAATGAATAAGCAGAAGCTGATTACTGTCATATTAAATCTGATCACCAGGAAAAACCCATGGGGTTTGTTCTCAGGAATTATTCATTCCTACAAGCTTGAAACCTTTTTTTTTTTTTATCTTTTTCATTGCGTTGCAGAATGTCCATAAGATCCTGAGCACACCCAGTCATTTACCAGATGAGAAAAGGTAGGAGATGGCTTCTGGGAATCTTGAACAGGAACATGAAATGTCCTTTTCTGACCTTTCTCAGGGGAACGTGATTCGCACAGAATTTACCCAGAGGTTCTAAGATACTGTCGCTTTGGGAGCAAAACCACTGGGGAAAGGCAATCTGGAGGCTGCTGGTGGATTGGTGCTTGGGGTGGGGTTTGTTCTCCATTCAGGCTGTTTTGGGAGTTAAGTAGGTGAAACACTCCTGGTTAAGTTTCTCTTGTTAGCAGAGACCCTAAGCGGGTTGTTTCAGAAAAGGAGAATTTTGACCCAACATGCTTTTCCTAACCTGAGTCAAGTTTTGGCTTAAAGAGCATATCCATTTTTTACTAGCAGTTACAGAAACTGATAGAGTTTAAGCAAAGAACTTATGAAAAGCAGGACTCTCAACTGCACAAATGGTTGCAGAAATAAAGTTCAGGCTTCTGGACTCCTCTTCAACCTGAACTTATCTCCTGTTTTCCACTTGGAAAAAAATGTATCACAACTTTATTTGAGTTTTTAATTGATTGAATTATTGAAAGGTCACTGTCCCATCGATAATGACCAGCTCCTTTAAAAAAACTGGGTTTTAAGAATGATTGAAAACCATTTTTAAATTTTCGAGATGGTTACTTGTAATATAAGGAAGGAAATATGCTAAAAAATGCATTGGCATCTGTCTGTAAGACGACAACACAAGCAAGCATAAAAGAGAGTCTCCCGTGCTGCTGAGCAATCAAGATGCAATCCTCCCTGAACGCACAAAATTTATGTAGAATATCCTTTCACAAGAGGCTGGCCGGGATTTTCAATGATCCTTCTATGATAGCAGTATTGATGGCACTTTCCGTATTTGTAAGAGTCAACAGTGAAACAGAAGAGGATAAAACAGAGGCAGTCTCAGATACATCTCTTCCATCTTCAGATCTTGTTGACCTTTTGCTATCAGAAGCTAAAGAACTGTTAGCGCCAATCCTCTCCAACAAGGACGGTAAGCACTAAATTAACTGGAGAAACCCGAACCCAAACAAGTCTCGAGGATGTCTATCAGAGTTATTTACTGTTTCCCCCACCTTCCATACTTTTTGCCATACCAGTTAAGCTTCCCACACATGTATAGCTGATTCTCTCTTGCTCACTGAGATGTAATTGCCCTCCATGTATCCATGTGACTCGTCTTTGAATCTGAAATGCAGACTTGCAGTGGAAGGAGACAAAGGGTGTGACTTGTGCCCAGGGCCAGAGGAAAAAAAAGTGAAGAGGCAGAAGAATGGTTTTTCAGGATCATAGGAATGCTGGTTGAAAGAGACTGCTGGAGATCAGGAGTCAAATCTTCCGCTCCAGGCAGGACCATTACACGAGGTCAGACCTGCAGTGGGTTTAGCCAGCCGGGCTTTCAGCCTCTGAGGATGGAGGCCCACAGCCTTTCCAGATAGTGCGTTCCCACGTTGCATTGTGCTCCGTGAAACAGGTTTTCCCAGCATATAGTCTGAACTTCCCCAAGTGCAATACATGGCCGCTGCCCCCAGTTATACTGTCTGTCACTGCCAAGAAGAGCTTGGCTCCAACATCTTTCTAATTGCCCTTGATGTAGGAGTGAATGCCACAAGATTGCCTCTCCACCTCCTTTTTGCCAGGCTCAGCCCTGCCCGGCCTCTTCTTGCAGATTATGAGCCCTGGGGCTCCCTTTGCTGAACCCCGGACAGTTTCTCAGTAGCTCTGAACCAAGGATCCAAACCTTCGTTATGCTATCCAGGATGCTGAGCAGAGGGGAGTAGTAACCTCCCTGTTGCCTTGGCATACAAACGAGCCTGTGAATGGGAGAAAAATCAGAGAAAAGGCATCTGGTTCCACAGGAGTCTGTATTAACTTGAATTAATAACAGCTTGAGTACTGTGTTCAGTTCTGGGCACCACAGTATAAGACATCGAGGTGCTGAAGTGCGTCCAGAGAAGGGCAACGAAGCTGGTGAGGGGTCCAGAAAATAAATCTGATGAGGAGCAGCTGAGGGACCTGGCGTTGCTCAGCCTGGAGAAGACAAGGCTGAGGTGAGACCCTTAGCTCTCTACAGCTATCTCAAAGAAGTTTGTAGTGAGGTGAGGGTCAGTCTCTTCTCCCAAGTAACAAGTAATAGGATGAGAGGAAATGGCCTCAAGTGGCTCCAGGGGAGGTTTAGATTGGATATCAGGAAAAATTTCTTTACTGAAAGAGTGGTGAAGCACTGGAACAGGCTGCCCAGGGAAGTGGTGTAATCACCATCTCTGAAGGTGTTCAAAAAACATGTAGATGTGGCACTTCAGGACATGGTTTAGTGGTCATGGTAGTGTTGAGTGGATGGTCGGGCTCGATGATCTTAGAGGTCTTTTCCAACCTTAATGGTTCTATAACTGTCCCAGTCTGGGACTCTGAGCTTAGTCTGTGAGCCATTTCTTGGCAGCAGTTATTTAGCCCCACTTGTCTCCTGCCATGCAAAAGGAGTTTCTGGTCTCCTCTGTGTCACAATCAGGTGAGCGTACAGCCCAGTTCTTTACTCTTTGATGTTATTCACCAACTAAATGTGGCCACAGCTCAGCCTTGTCTTTGTCTTGAAGTGCAAGACACGAGGAAAATAATTGTAGCCATTAAGGAGCCCTCTGATAGATGAGTGTGTCAGCATTTTCAGAGTTCCTGTGTCATTTAAATGTGCATTATCATAATGTAGCAGCGCTGCTTGCATTGGGCATGTTTTCTAACCCTTCACTTATACTTGGCTGTGTGCTTACATTTGCAGCTTTGCCGTGTGACAGGGACCAGTGCCTGCCTGCTGAAGGAATCCCAAATTACAAGGAGTAGGTGTCAAAACTGCCATGGTCTGTAATTTTGACAGTGCGCATACTAAAAAATCCTGTTCGTTCTGTCGGGTTTTTTTAATCGAGATTTTCGCTTGACAACTTTTAACCAGACAATCTAGTAGAGGCCTCCAGATGGCCATGTCAGAGAAATATCTCCCTTCCTAGACAGCAAGAGACTTCCTGCCCTGCACAGTGAAGTATGGTGTGAATTTCTGTATCTCTCTCTTGTTTTCTAAAATGTTCTTTTTCCTTCGGGCCAGATGGGAATTTACAGTTCTATGACTTGTCTGGCTTGCATCTTGTTAGGCCACTGTGAGTTCTGAGTAAGGAAAAAAGCATTATTGAATGTGTTAATTTTTTATGTGCTGGTATCAAGATGCTGTGAAGTCCCAGCCAAGAAGAGCAGGACGACATGGCTTTGCTTGGATCTTTAGTATCTGAAGAATTTCCCTAAAACCTCTTAAGTGGCTTATATTTAACAGAGCCATGTCCTAAAGATACCTGCTGAAAGCGCACTGTGAGACCTAAATGTCTGTTACCACTGTCTTAGCTGATCATGTTAACTCAACCTGAAGATCTGCCCAGGTTTTTAGTTAGGTACAAAGTAGACATTTGCAAATCATGGTTTCAAGGTTATGAAAAGTGTTTTCAGTCCAAACAGAAGGCCAGCACAATCCACTAACTCTGCAAGATCTGTGGCCTCCTCTTTCCTTTCCTAAATAAGAAGTGTTGTCTTCATGCCATCCCCTGGGTCCTCCTGAACTCTGTAAAACACATTTCTCCCTTTTCAGCCACCTTCATCAGAAGACCACGTGGCCCCCTCCCGCAAGCCAGATCAAGAGCGATCAACCACAGCCACCAAGTCCAACCCACGAACTGTCAAAGTAGTGTCCATCAATCTCCCAGGGCTTGCTCGTCCTCCAAACTGCAACTGTCCTGCTCTGCTGGGGGATGG